CGGCATTCACGTACATGCCAATCTAGGTGAACTTAGGACTGATGCATTTTATGCCAATGTTGCCACCTGGCACAGTGTTACTCACTGTTTCCTGCAGTTAAATTCAGCAAAATACTCACCTACTCTGTCCCAGGCACTGAAGATACAGGACTCATTAAATCCCAGCCCTGCCCCTGTGAGATTCACAGTCTGGTGGAGGATGGATACTACAAGATAACACTGTACAAATATATTTATCATAATAGGGTACAAGATTCAATCCAAAGCATGACTACACATCACCCTGTTCATCTCCTTCAGATCATTTAGCTCAATCTGTGGCTGTTACGTTTATTCATTTACTTACTGTTGGTCTGTCCCCACTAGGAGACACTGGGACAGGAAGTTTGTCTGTCTGGTTCACTACTATGTCCCTAGCACTCCACATGGACTTGGGCGCAGAAACACATGCGTTAAAAGCTGTATTTGTGGAAGGATATAAAAAGAGAAGCAGAAAAGTGTCAGGAACTATGCGCATTAAGCCCAAATTAAAGGTCCAGGCAATGCTTCCGTGACAGGAGACACCTGGGCTCAGATGTGAAGTGTGAGTGAGGACCAGATAGGGAAGAGGTGAAGCACAATCCAGAGGAGGAAACAGGATGAGCAAAGGTAAGAAATGGTCACGTCAGCATGACAAAGCCCTTAAATATGACTGCAGGCCAGCTGTTCTCAAAGAGAGGTGGCTTTGTCCTTAGGGGACATGTGGCGACGCCTGGAGACATTTGTGACTGTCATGACTTGGTGCTACTGGCAACTACAAGGTGGAGTCCAGGGGTGCTGCTAAACACCCTACAATGTACAGAACAGGCCCCCAAACAAAGGAGGTCAGCAGTGCTGAAGTTTAGCGACATTTAAAGGATGGACTGGTCAGAGGACTGGTCTAAAGTTCGCAATTTCTACTCATGCCTAATGGCACCTTTTGATTAGAATTTAGACCAGAATAGCGTTTGCTTGCCACCTCCCATAACCTCCAAAGGAAATACTCAGAACCTATTAGTCTTCTGTTTTAGCTGAAACAAGACTTTCCGCAGACATCAATGAACCTCCCGTCACTACATATGGCCCCAGGTCTATTTTATGATCTCCACCAAGGACACAGAATCAATTTCCTTCATCTGTTGGCTATCCACCCTGGCTCATCATCTTCCCTCTAAATTCTAGGACTCCAAACTACTCATCCCCTATGCAGGGTAATGAGATACAGAAAGATGAGGACAAGAGGTGCTCAATACCATTAGATGAATGGATGGAAGGACGGTCAGCAGGACAGAGGAACAGAGATTTTTCAGAATAGAAAAAGTCCTTGGAGCTTTTATCTGAGCTTTGTGCACTGTTCCACAAAGGCAGGGTCGACCTAAACGTTGACATCCACTGCCTGTGCCCGTCACCACGGGGGGCTGTCATGAAGAATGCACAGAAGAGGTCACGTCCCCAGGATTCTGGAGCCTTGGCAGGGAGTCAAGCAGCTGAACGTGATGGAGTGGTGGGAGTTGGGAAGTCAGCGAAGACAAAGCCCCTTTGTCTAGAAGTAGCAACACCCAGCAGGGCTGAGCCTGCAACAATGAAATCCATGGGAGCTCCAAACCTGTCAGGGCCTGATCCTCGTTCAGCTTCTCATACTGCCTCACAGTTGCTTCCCTTCAGCGAAAAGTCTCTTAGTCTAAAATGAGTTTGCTTATTTTTGCCCCTGGCAAACATTTCAGTATTATCTGAAATGCCTGAATTATGACTCTAAAGTTTTTTTTTAAATCATCATTTTTTTTCTGTTGTAAGAGATCCAATAGCAGTATATTTCTAAAGAGTAGATCCCAGACACTCACAAGGGCTATCTGCTGTTGTAACCAGAGCAGGACCCAATGGGGCCTTCCCAGGACAAACCCCCCTGTCCACTGTCCTCCGCCTGTCTCGTCTGCAGAAAAACGTAATCAAAGAGTAAGTTTAATCAGAGAAGTGAGAAAATGCAAAAACAAAGGAAAAAGTCAAACAAGGCAAAACAATAATAGTTTAGCCATTAAACAAACTCAAGGACCTTTAGTTTCTCCTCAGGGGCTATAGATATATTCTAAGCCATATCCTTTGGGCTGTTTTGCAGATACTGAAACCCCCACCAGGTGGAAGAAGTTAACTATATGCTGCCCACAAGCACGGAGACCCCAGACCAATCAGAACCAGAAGGTTGATGATGTTGACTCCTGGTTGCCTCACCACCAACCAAGAATGTCCATGAGCTGATCATGCACCTTGCAACCCTCTCCTCAACACATAGCCCCTTCCTCTTTTCCCTAC